TCTACTCTGTTGAATTTTATTCTCACAAATCCGGCTGAGCCTTTATTTCTAACAGTTTAAGGAAGGTCTAGTCTACCAGTTACAAAAATGAAAACTAGATAGAATTCTAAATATAAACAGATTATTTACATTAGTTTATAAAAATAGATCTGAATTTAGGAAAAGTTAAACTTTCACTTCAGTTCATCAGGCATGATAAATTCCTCCTTTTTCAAAGCTGACCCTGTTTTCTTGGTTAGCAGTGTCAGTTTAGGCCTAGGGGTGTGTGTGTGCGTGCAGAATTTTATGTTTCCAACTAAGTTACTGACTAAAAGAAACTAATCTTTAGATATAACCAGTGATAGCTTAATGTTCTACCCCCTCCAGAGATTCCTGATGCCACAGTTACAGCTACTGCGCTGTAACAATTGGCTTTCTAGCCATGGGTAGTATTTTCGTTCCTGTAAAAGCCTGCAGCTGTTAACTGGTCTGGGGAAAGCCTGCCTACAGCTTTTGTCAGGGCCTTCCTGGGCCAGCAGATACTGTTACTTGATCTGACACATCTGGAACTTGTTGATAAACTTACATATAAAAAGCTCAAAATGCAATATAATCATCAAAGCAACTAAATGACATTTATTAGGAAAAGAATTAAAAACCATTTTTTCCCTAAAGAAGGCATTTTTTAAAAAGGTAATTAATTTGCGCTCTTCATATTTGGGCAGAACAACGTCATAGGGCAGGAAGCATTCCCTTAGGTGAGTCCCATAAAACTGGTTCCCAAATGCACTGGAGTAAAGAGAAAAATAAGGACAATGTAGTGGTTTTTTTTCAAAAAGCTACATTTATTCCATTTAAAGAACTATCTCTTATTCTGAGATTGTCCTTTTATGAAAAAAAATGGTGATAATACAGTGACTTTTCAGATTACTTGGCAAAATAAATTGGCAACCCTGTCAATCCCCACAATTTTTGGAAATATTACTGGTCCATGAAACCCGAAAGTGTGGGAACCACTGCCATGTAAGAGTTTTGTTTTGCATGTTGTTAACAACTGTTAAATGGAAAAAAGCTGTGGTCAGATGTTTGGGAAATGATACTACAGAATTTCACATCATCATGTGAGTTAATGGCAAGTATGCTCCATCCCCCAAACTTGGACCACTAAACACATTCAGACTCACTGTTCACTGGAAATACAAAAATCTGAAGTGAACAATTCCTTTCACTTTGGAATTGCAACAATTTTCTTCAAATGAAGTTGATGTTAGCGTTTCAACAGTCTGTCCTATGACTTAGCTGAAGCTAAGGAAATGGTATAATCAGCAACATTATCAATATTAAACTTTTAATATCAAATACATTTTTGTACATCGTTACTAATTTATATAATTATAAAACAAACTTCAAAAGCTCCATAAAATCAGTAAGGTAAAGGCCGTACTGAATATTATATAAACTTTAGATGTTACCAGGCTTGATTTCAGGAAAAGTCATTGGTTTTTGATACAAATTATCTACAAAAAAATGGTATAAATGATATTTGAATTTTACAATAATGTGGCTATAATCTGCCCATTACTCTTTCATAGGTGTCAGATCTTTAAAGTTCATTTCCATTCACACATTTCTGCTGTTGAAGTCTGGTTCTTCTTAAGGACTCTAGCTGCTTTGCTCTTAGCCATCGTTCTCTTGACAGCGTTGTCTGACCAGCACTGAGAGACAGAAACCTGGTTTGAAATATAGAAACAAATTTAAGTCTAGGTCTAGGGTAATGTTTTTTCTTTTTTAAGTCCTATTGTGTTGTAGGTTTTTTTCTTAATACTGGGTTGGGAGACAAAACCATCCGGTAACTACACATAAATCAAGGGCCAAGTTAGACTTCTACAAAGGAATCCTTTAAGAGCCAACTTTGGATGGCGTCTGCCCCTTCTTTGAAGTGCAGAGATCGAGGAGCATGCCTAGTCCACTCAAGTGATCCTTGGCCAAACATCATTCCCGCTCAATGAGCCATTTCACAACGGGTTTTTAGTAGGAAGAAGTTCATTTTCACTTTTATAAATCTGCCTCAGTTACCCTAAATAAAGTAGGAGATTTACCTACGGCTCACTGAAAAGGCAGCCGTGAACATGTCCACTCACCGAGCTACAATGAGCAACTGGTGCAGGTCGTCAGCAGTAATGCTCTGAGGGTCATTCTTGCGCATTTCCACGAAGTCATCTTCAACTGCCTTTATCAAAAAAGTAATGAACTTTAAAGTTATTCCTTACGAGAAAACGATGTTTGCATTTTGTAGGGAAAAGGAAAGACGGTCCCCTGCCTAATGTAAAAATGAGCCCTGCCTCTTGGAGAATGAGACAATATGGGTAAAAAGGCCGAAAACCAAACTTCACAATAAGTACTACTACTGGGGAAAGTACTCTAAACAAAGTAACAAAACTCAAGATTCATTTGAGAAGGTCAGGCAAACACATACAAGCCAGTAACCTGCACAGCAAACACGATGCCTTTACACACAGGGAAGAGAGACGTCAGCAAAAATGGCCAAGTAAAGGACCTCTGAAAATTCTCACCATGATTAAAGGGAATAAGAACACTGGCAAAAATGACCAAAACCAGGGGGAGAGCATAGCTCAGTGGCAGAGTGCATGTACGAAGTCCTGGATCAATCCCCACTACCTCCGTTAAAAAATAAATATAATTACCCCTCAACAAAAGTTTTAAAATGATAAAATAAATTGAAAAAAAAAAGATCAAAATCAGCTTCTTCAAAACTCTGGAAATTAACCAGATGCTTGAAACAATCTGCAGAGCCTTTTTCACGAAAGACAGGAAGAACATAAGCTTTGACTGAGGCATTTTATTTCCGCCCATTCCCCTTCTCACCCCACCCCCGAGCAGCCCTGAAAACGGACAGCCTGGCAACCAGGGGAGAGGGTAGTGGGGCTGGAGCTCTTCCAAAGTATCACTCCCAGAGAACTGTCATCTGACTGTCTGGTGGTTCCCTGGAAGAACCCATCTGCAAGGCTGTCTTTATTTAACCGGACTTGGAACTTGCCCAGTGCGAACAGCCCATTCCCCCCAGAGCATTTATCAAAAACAATCAGAAGCAATTACTGATCATGTTGATTGCCCCAGGTACTGGATAATAGTTGGGGCTGAAACAGCAGGCTAACAAAACTAGTAAAAATAAAATCTGGGGAGTGAGATGTCGATAGGAGGCTCTGGGGGAATTTTTTCTTTTTTTTAAATGAAAATAAAATACACATACTCCCCTGGCCAAGAGTTCAGAAGGCCACTTGCATGCACAGGCTGTGCTCATGCTTAGAAGATCTGAGCAGGCCCTAAGCTCTCACCTCTGGGTAACCTTGAGGCTCTGTGCAAACAGAAGGGCAAAGTTAGGGCAGAGTTTTAAACTACACGGCTGGGCCTTGAAGGCTGGCCCCAACATGGATACAGAGCCCCTTGGCTTAGACTGGGTAGCTACTTCCAGGCATCTAAGGAAATTAAATTTCTATCCAATCACTGACTGAGCACTAAGCTAACTGAGCAGAGATTTTAGTGCCCACATACAACGAAGAATACAGACTTAAAAAAAATTAATTCAGAAAAGTTACTAAACAACAAACAGCAATAACAACAAACCACAGGGAGCGGGGAGAATCTGCCAGAGCAGACTGGCCATATTACACTATTTAAAACACCTGGTTTTCAACACAACTTAGGAGACATACAAAGAAACAAGAATGTGTGGCCCCCTTCACTAGAAAGTAAGAAGTCAACAGAAACTGTCCTTGATGAAATCCAAGTATTGGAGTCACTAGAGAAAGACTTCAAATCAGCTATTTTAAATATTCAAAGAACTAAACCATGAATAAAGAACTAAAAGTATGAGAATGTCTCACCAAATAGAAAATACCAATAAAGAGACAGAAATTATTTAAAAAGGAAACAAATTCTGAAGCTGAATACAAGTGAAATTAAAATTCACTTGAAAGCAGATTCTAGCAGGCAGAAGAAAGATTCAGCAAATTTGCAGATGGGCCGACCAAGACCAGCTAGTATGTGGAACAGAAAACAAAAAGAATGAGAAAAAATGAACAGAGCCTCAAAGACACCATCAAGTGTACCAACAAACAGGTATGAGAGGGCCAGAGAGGAGAGAGAAAAAGACAGAAAGAAAAGTAATGATCAAAAACTTACATCTTGAAAACTTCCCCCAAATGTGCATCAATCTGCACATCCAAGAAGCTCCTAAGTTTCAAGTAGGATAAAATCAAAGAGATCCACACCTAGACACGTCACAGCTAACCTGTCAAAAGCTAAAGAGAATCCTGAAAGGACAAGAGAAGAATGACTCACTGTACAGAAGGTCCTCTCGCTGGAAACTGACTTCTATCAGAAAGGCCAGAAGGCGGCTGGAGGACTTACTCAAACTACTGAAAGGATAAGCTTATAAACCAAGAATTCTACACCAAACAAAATCAGTCTTCAAAAATTAAGGAGAAATTAAGACATTCCCAGATAAGCAAAAACTTAAAAGAGAATTTGTCACAAGCAGATCTGTCCTACAAAAAGTACTGAGAAGCATGCGTTAGAGTTCTTCGGGCTGAAGTGGAAAGATTGTACACTAACCTGGATCCACATAAAGGTCACTGGTCAAGGTAACCACACAGGTAAATATAAAAGGCAGTGTACATGTCTTTCTTTGTAACTCTTTTCCTCTGATTTAAAGACAACTGCTGCATGAAGCAGTAATGACAAGAGTGTTGATATGTCACCTGTATGACGATAAAGTTCAGAGGAGGAGAGAAGGCATGGAATGATAAAGTGTGAGCAAAGCCTCTGCACACCACTGCGATCGAACTGCTACAATCCTAAACAGATGATCACAGTCAAGATGTTAACTGTAGCTCCCAGGGCAACTACTAAAGAAAAAAATATCATAAAAGAAAAGACATGGAAATTAAAACTGTACACTAAAACTATTTCAAACAAAAGAAGACAATAATGGATGAACAGAGGAACAAAAAAGACATATGACACAGAAAACAAAATAGCACAATCACCTTATCAGTAATTATAGTAGTGTAAGTTGGTTAAATATGCCAATTCAACACAGGGAAATCTTGGTTTTAACCCAAACATACCTTGGTTATTTCATCAGATATACTATAATCCAGGAACCTCAAAAGGGTCAGATAAATGCGGAATTTATTCAGCACAGAAGGCAGCACCGCTGAGAGGAGGCTGTTCATGTATTCCTCCATGTTGGGAGGAATCAGCTGTGGCTGTAAGTGGATCTGGCAGTCTGCCTAAAAAGAGAAGCAGTGAACAATATTTTCCAAGTTCCTAAATTAACCCAAAATTCCAGGAGAATGCATCATCTGTATCAGTCCGTAAGGGAACTAGAACACTATTCATTATTAGGATGAGGCCACTTTTTATATTCATTTATATGCACTATAACTACCTCAGGAATAATTACAAAAGTTAGCCCTTCCTTGGTTACTCACAGTGTCTCTCAACGGCATCAGCAAACACAGAAAAAGGTAGTGAAGCACCAAAAGGCAGCTAATTAAAGTGTTTCAGATGTTTCCTTAACCATGGAGTACGTACTCTATATCTCACTGAACTGCATTTCTAGAAACCACAGAGAGCAAATCACACTTGCGCTCAGAAAACTTACCAACGGGCCATTTCATTCTCATTCGTAGGCATATACCAGAGATGAACACCATTATACAAAGAAACTTTATGCCTTTAAACAAGTGGGTACATTTCTCATCACTAAAGACTTAGAAGTAAAAGCTCTCATCAGTCACTCTGACGATTTACCAGAACATTTTACCATAAAGCACAGAAATAATTACCAGGTGATTAAGAACATTTTGAAAGGAACTCTAAAATATTTCTCACATAAGATTGGCAGAAAACAATGGAACAGAGGCAGCAAGAACAAAGGTCTGGATGTTAATCAGGCAGTTTACAGACAGCTTCTACTTTCTCTGCCCAGATGTGGGAGTTTCTGCTGCCAACAGCTTTCTTGGCTTGTCTTGTGATTAGCTGATACCTGACAGATATGAAGTTTTCACCCCAAAGAACAAAAGTAATCAATTCCGTCATTAATAATCAGCAGCCACAATTTTGAAACAAATCTGAAACGACCCCTTCAATTTTGAAATGACCCTTCGTACCGGCAGGAGTGATCTCCCCTCTGAAGTAATGAGAACGTTGATATTACAAGGGAATTCCATCTGGTGGTAGCTGAAGTCGTAATCCACCTTCTGCCAAGTTATCAGATTGCTCAAGGCAGTCACATTATGAACACCTAACAAAAGCCAGAAAATAACTTGTCAGTCATTTGGTTTTAATTCACCTAATCAGATTAGTTTTGCTGACACTGATAACAAGACATGAGGTTTCTACTGCTTTTAAAAAAGTTTTTTTTTAAGCTAGACAATTACATTTCTGGAGCCAAGACACCCACGCCCCCAAATCTAACACCTAGGTTATTAGGTATTCGATAAGGTTATTGAATTTCACTGATTTTATACTTTCACCTAGTTGTACCCAGTTTACACTATTTTCTCTATCTTTACGCCTTGAGCTTATCACCAGCAGTGTCTTCTTAATTCTCATTTGAGCACAGATAAAGCACTCTGCTTTCTTGTAATTCTGTATCATGCTCCATCAATGAGATTAGTTCAAGCCATGTGATCTACTAAATTTTTTTTCAGAGATACTTTGAAAAAAAATTTTAAATCACGTTGGCTGATAAAAAAAAACTTTCATTAGATCTTTTCTGCAATTTTCCTTTTGAGGTAATATAGGACTAAAGGCAAAATCTCCTTTCTTTTCAGCCTTTAAAAAGCTTCCTGCTACTTACCTGTTGTATTGCTGTACTATTTTCAAACTTACATATACATACAACATAGTTGATGTACACACTTTTTTGTTTATGATACGTGCTTTAACCAAATTCATAGGGCAAGACTTTGTCTTAAACACTTGTGGAGTGTGAATCTGTCTTAGTTCAGTTATTCTTTTAGATCTTCATTACCAGACCTCGCTTTGCTGGGAGTTAAAGGAGGGACGCATCTGTGCACATACCTGGCGTGTCGAGTTGCCCCTGCTCCAGGAGAGTCTCGTCAATGATGAGAGAAGTATTGCTGGGCAGCTGAAGGAGCCCACTGACCAAGCGATTGGCTGTATAGTCTTTGTGGGGAATGAATTTCAAGTGGTTCATGTTTTCTATAGTCATCTGCAGACGAAAAGACTGCAAAGAGAAATTTCTTAATGAGCCAGGAACTAAGTTTCCCCCTTTTAAGAAAGTATATATTTAGGGTTAAAGACTGTATTTTATATGGAAAGAAAGATCTTACCAATTCTAAGGGAGTAATCTCATGGTTTCTTAAGCTCTTAGCAAAAATATCTACATCCTAAATAAGAATTTCACTGGCTCTATGAGCTGCTTTATTTTCAACTGCCTTGTTCAGTATTCTTGAAGAATAATTTTTATTTTACAAGTGAACCAGAAACAAATGATAAACGACTGAGAAACAGAAATATCCAGACGCCTAACTCCTTTAACCCACCAGTCTAACACAATACATTTATTTACTCAACAAGAGGGGGAGAGAAAGCTAATTTTCCTCTGTGTTCCCTGAATTAAAACCATATTCATTCATCACAGACTACTGCAGACTCCTGAACAAACCGTTCTGAAGAAGATGCAAGGCGTGGAGGACTCGGTGCTGTGTGTCTCGGCACCCGCTCCACCCAGGCTGCAAGTTGCCTCCTCACCCAGTCTCAGCAGACAGTCTGTTAAACCCACACGCACCTCCTCCTCCAGCCACTGAGCACACCATGCTCCTCCTTACCCTGCTTTGTACGCCAATCTACTATCACTCTGGCCCAAAAAGAAGTATGCGTGGTAGAGGTGGAGACTGGAGTGGGGAAGGATGTTGAAGAAGAGACAAGATGAATTTTCAAAATGTAGAGGATTTTTGTAGTTTGGCTCAGTAATTCAAAGCAAGCAGTGGGTAGCAGGGGGAGGGGGTGGGTCACATAATAAATACAAACAAATAATCCCTAAGGAAACAGAGTCTGTTAAAACGAAAGGTGGCACAGGGCAGGGTCTAGCTCCATATAAGCAAAAGCAGCTCACTCACGCTTAATCTGTTGTGCCAACTAAATAAGACATTAAAGAAGCAAGTGTTTAGAAAAAGTTCAGTGCTGGCTAGACACAAACACGAGAGTAATGTAAGGGAGTGAGGTACGGTAAAAGTGAAAGAGTAAACAAATGCACTACAAAGTGATGTAGAATAAAAAGAACAGAAAGGAAATCCCTTACCACGCCAAGAACCCTGAGCACCCTCCCTGGTAACGTTCACACTTAAAAATATAATTCATGTCCCACGTACGGGCTACTTAGACCTGGCCTCACAGCTCTGAGAGGCCCTAGGCTGCAGCTCAGACCCGATGTCCCGCCCCTCTCCCTAGTCCTCGCACCGCACCAGCCACACCAGCCCCTCTGCGGGCTTCCCTCCAACAGGCCCGGCACACGGTGCCTGAGGCCTGGGCTTGCTCTCAGCGCGGGACGGACACGCCCCCGCCCCGCTATGCGTGGGGCTCCCACGGGTGTGTCTCTCCCTAAGCTCCGCCCTCGCGGGGCCTTCCCAGACCACGACCACGCTGCTGCTGACAGCAGCTCCGCCCTGGCCCGCCACCAGGCACCCCTCCCCTTCTCCCAGGCCTTCACTGTTCTCCGTGGCGCTTCAGTGATACAGTGTGTATGTACCTCTTAGTTGTGTGTTTTCCACCACAATCATTTAAAACCTCTTTTTCAGTAATTCTCAGAATGTGGTCCAGGGAACTGCCAGGGAGTTGCTGAAACCCTTTGATGGGGTCCATGAGGTCAAAATCATGCATGGATAAAAGATCCATTCAGTGTGCAAGACAGACCAATGAATCTACTACAGCGGAGTATAAAAAGCTCACTGATGAGATTTCAGATTTCACACTTGCAACTATCATGAACGAAAATGCCACATGGACAGTTTTGATCTAGTGTCAGAAGAAAATCTACAGTTATCTGAAAAGGCCATTAAAATAGTCCTTCCTTTGCCAGTGACTCCCCCATCCGTGTGAGGCCAGCTTTCCCTCATATACTTCAGCCAAAACATCATGTTACAATAGGCTGAATGCAGAAACACAGGACAATCCAGCTGTCTTCTCTTTTTTTTCGTTTTCCCAGTTGTCTTCTCTTAATCCAGACATTACAGATACTGGCAAAAATTTAACACCGTGTCACTTATCACTAATATTTTTCGTTTGGAAAAATGGTATTTTTTACAAAAGTATTTTATTTATGTTCATATATAATTGATTTGTTATTTTCAATGAATTAATACTTTAGTATTTTTTAGCTTTAATTTCTAATATGGTAAATTCTAATAGGGTAAAACCCATATAAACAACATCTCTCTGAGGCCTCAGTAATGTGCCTAAGAGTATAAAGTGAGTCAAGGAGTGTGAGAAATGTTGGTATATTTAGTCCACTGTTGTTTCTTAAGGGCCTAGAAAACACTCAGTAACCACTGGTTAAATGATCTATTTCAATCTCTTAAATTTCCAAAGTAAGAACTGATCAGCAATGCCAGTCACACAACTAATCAGAAGCTATTCCCCATTCCTAAGATCTTACCGCCACATAAACACTGCACTCCAGATGTCCTGACAAATAAAAGCAGTCCAACTTTCCAAACAAGAATTAAAATTGGGGCAGTAGAGATAAAGCTATACCTCAACTAAAAGATTTATGCTCCTATAATTCAGAGTTTACTTAGACTGACGATTTTAAAGCACACAAAGAATACCAAATTATACAAACCAATTAGCATCAACCCAGAGTACAATTTTAAGGGAGAAACTACAATTGTGTTGTTACTTACAGAAATTTGTGCTAAGACAATAAACGAAAAGTGAATTGTTTAGGGATGAGTACATTTTAAATTAAGGAACTAATAAGCAAGCTTTATCTCCCTTTAATGAGATCTATTAAAATCTGACAGTTAAATATTTGGGTTCAATGGAAGACAATCAGATGGATTTTTAAAGTGTACTTAGGTTTACAATATACATTTATATTGATCTTACTGCTGGAACTAGATGTTGAATAATTCGATACAGGTGTTCTGTGAAGGTACTATTCCGTGGGCAACCACTCAAGTTAACAGTAAATTTTCCCAGTGGAAGAACATCTCTTCTTGTATATCTAGGGGAAAAAAAAAAGATTATCAACCAATAAGATACTCAGATGATTTCCTGATTTTCATCAAAAAGCAAACAAAGAAAAATTAGCTTGATACTGTCATTAAAAATAAATCAGATTACGTGATCAGGTTTTTTTTTAATCAGGATAATAGCAATAAAAATAATAGGCAATACTTAAGTGCTGGTCATGTTCCAGGTACTGTTCTGAGTGCTTACATGCTTTCCCACTTAATTCTCAAACACTCTGAGGTAGGTATTATCATCTCCATTTCATACATGAGAAGTCTGAGGCCCAGAAATTTTACATAATATGCCCCAGTTCACACAGCCAGGACGAGGCAGAGCTGGACTTGAACCCAGGTAGTTTGGTTCTGTACACTATGCTCTCAACTACTATGTACTACTGTGTCAAATCCTGCCTCAAATCCTATCTGAGAAAAGATTCATAGTACAAAGATGTTTACTGCAGGGTTATTTAAAAAGAGGAAATACTAGGAAAACCTAGCATTTACGGAACTCGTACAACTGTCTATGATGAAATACTGTGCATCCATTAAAAAGTTTAAGAATTATGATGGGAGAATATTTGATATATATTAAATGATAAAAGCAAGATACTGATCTGTGTTTAGAGTATAACTGAGATCTACGGAGGGTGTATACATATGTGAACAAACAAAGATGGCATGAACAGGTGCCAACGTGTTACCTGAGATCATCACTAAGTGGTGAGATTACAGACGACTTCTATTTTCTTTCTGATGCTCTTGGGACTTGTTGAAGGCACACATGTTATTTTGAAATCAGAAAACAGAGAGCTACAGTGCAGTGAGAGGGAGAGCAGCTCATGCGCACACACAAGTGAGACGCGCACCCACAGAGCCCGCTGCCTGCGGACACAGGGCCTTGTGATGGATTAATAGAGAATCTAGATAGCAGAGAATGAAACAGCTCGTTTTGCTCATTAGCCAGGTTCTTTACCTTATTTTGGCTCTTAATTTAAGAGACATAATCAAAATGCTACATATGACACTAAGAAAAGTTGAAAAAAGGAATGTCTGTGGATTTGACATAATACCTGTTACAGTGAACAAATAAAGACCATCTGGTGATGAAGCCTAAGTGCTGGAATCAGGCTAATTACCTCAGAACCTTTCCTGTTCTTTTCTGCCAAACTCCCTGAATTCCCTCCAGGGTCACAGCACTTACACTGTAGAGATGAGATGTAATATAAGGTATTCAGCAGCCAAACTGTCTCCCAGAAGGGCATGAGTGAGGAACCCCAGCAGTTCTGCTCTGACTGGAGACAATTCAGACATGAAACTGGAAACAACTGGGGAGAGAAGTGAGACCGGATTCAGAATACACAGCAGTTCCTCTGGGTGTCTCAGGTTAGAAAATAACCACGGAACAAACACACACATCAAGAGATGACTAGTACAGACTTAAAATACTGGTCAGTAAGTGATGCCAATTGTCAAAATAAGGCAGCGTGTATACCTTTTGGGGGGGGGGCTCATCTTAATGAAGAGAATTAACTTAAAAGGAAAAATGGGGCAAAGCAACGGCAACTGCTGGAGAAACTTATTCTGATGACTGAGGACCCGACAGCGCCCGCCACACTGGGAAAGTCTCGCGGCTCCGAGGCTTCAGCACTTACACTTACAGGTTTTGCTCTCCTCCTTGTTAAGGCAAGCAGGCAGTAACGGATTGATGTGCTGCAGCTTCTGGGCTAAGACCACGTGGATTCTCGGCACCAGGGAGGCAGGAGGGCTGTGCACCCGCTGTTCTTCGGCCGTGTCCGTGCATTCCATTGGATCCAACAGTGAAGAGGCATCCCTGCAGAGAGATGACAATGTCAGTGCACAGAGACATCAGCTGTAGAGATGCAAAAATAATCTCTCTCTGAAAACAAAATGAGTACTCAAGCCAAGAACAGCTACACCTGTATGTCTCCTTGTTGAACACTGTTACATCACACAGATTTCAGGCTACTTAGGTCATATAAGATATCATGTATTTGTTCTGTTCTTCAAGACAATAACATTTTTGCTCAGCATGCTGTAACTGTGATAAATGGGACACAGCATGTCACTCATAAAGTTACTTCAAAACGCAGATACCCTTTCTTAAGCTATCAGCTAGGACACCAAATACTTCATAGCATGTCTCAAAAATGGGGGTCCTGCCCTCAAAAGCCAGCAGGTGTCTATTACTCAGTGTGGAGAATCCATTCATCTCTACCTTGCTAATCACGTTTCCTAATTTTATTCTTACATGATACCTCCCTTGAATAATGAATAGACAAGCTGTGAAAAGAAAATGAGTTTCTCAGATTTGCCAAATAAATTAGATGATAAATTTATTGTGAGATGATTGAAATAAGTGACTAAAATGTTTTTAGATCATCACTTTACAGACTGACTCTACAGAGTTATCAATTCATACTACCATCCTCCTTAAATACAAGAATGATGCCAACAATCTTTATATAGTGTGTATCCTGTGCTGGGCAATGCTCTTCGCTTTGCACACACAACTTCATTAAAACCTCACAACCGCCCTCATTTACAAGGATGAAACCAAGCCACTGCAGAAGTTAAGCTGAAGGTCTCGCAGCCAGTAAGTGGCCAGACCAGGATCCCAAGCCAGGCCACGTGTCTCAGTTGGTGCACTAAAATGCCTCCATAAGTGAAGTAACCCAAGCACGAGACTCATAACCAGAAACAGCCAAGACAGGCAATTTTGTATACTATTATTAAGGGACTGTTATGTAAGTTTAAGTCATTTAAAATTTTTGTTTTGCATCATTTTTTTGTGTGTGTGTGAAAAAAACCAAGTTCTTCCTATGGGGAAACCAAGGCTGAATGCCCAATATTTAGTAAGAAAACTCTTATCACAGGGGCAGAATATATTTCTTTTGCCAACCTCAAAACAAAACAAAAAAAAATAAGAATGATTCGGATTTTAAGGATATACTGTTAAGTGGGGGAAATAGACATGTATCTATCTATTTTTGCAAAAAAAGACACAGGAAGGATAAAAACAGAAACTAAGGCTGCTTCGCTACAGAGGATGGGTGGGAGCAGGGTAGAAGAGATGAAGGTAGTGGGGAAGGACACTCCTACATTCTTTTTGTATAGTTTTGATTTTGGTAACAATGTTCATGTTTTCTATATTCACTCTTAAGTATAGAAACAATAAGGGCGGAGGAAAAACTCTGAAGTGAAACACAATGGAAACAAATGAACTTAACTATGTAAAATGAGTAATGAATAACAGTATTGCACTGAAGGAGGAGGGAGACACCCAAGTGACTGGAACATAGCACCCTGACTATACACTCTCATTCTGAAATAAAAAGAGCCAGAAACAAATATTGAACTCAGGTTAGCAGGTTTATTTTTGTAGCAGTATGGACTACCACTTCTGAAATTACCTTCTCTGTACAGCAGTCCTCCCTTATCTGCATGAAACACATTCTAAGACCCCTAGTGCATGCCTGAAACTGTAGGCAGCACTGAGCCCCATATACACCATGTCTTTTCCTATAAATACATACCTATGATAAAGTTTAATTCACAAATTAGGTACAGTAAGAGATTAACCACAATAATAATAAAAATAAAACAATTATAATGATATACTGGAATAAAAGTTATGTGAATGTGGTCTCTCAAAACATCTTACTGTACAAATGTAATGCTTTTTCCATCTTAGCTAAGCACTTATCATGTAATATGGCTGTAACTTTTGCTGGTTGAGATGCAAAGGCAAAACTAACATGAATTTCTTTTTCCTTCTTGACAATTTCACTGAATCTTCTATTGTTCTTACTGTAGATCTTAGCAACCTCCGGATACACTTTTTTTCTTTCCTTATTAAGTCAAGAACTTTTACCCTTTCACTTAGAAAAACAGCATCTTACAGCTTCTCTTTGTCATATCCGAATCGCTAGCATCACTAATCTTGTGCTTGGGGGCCAGTATTAAGTAACATAAGGGTTAACTTGACTATAAGCACTGTGATCCCTCGACAGTCGATCTGATAACTGACGTGGCTACTAAGTGACTGACAGATGGGATACACTGGACAAAGGGATGACTCATGTCCCAGGTGAGATGGAGCTGGATAGCGCGAGATTAAATCAAGCTATTAAGAACGGCATGGTTAACATAACATTGTAAACTGACTATACTTCAGTTAAAAAAATGGCATGTAATTTAAAACTTATGAACTGTTTATTTCTGGAATTTATTTAATATTTTCAAACTACGGTTGACTCTCGGTAACTAAAATCTTGGAAAGCAAAACCAAGATACAGCGGAACCTACCGTATGGTAGATCTGAGCAAATGAATATATTGAGGATACTACTGGGAGTCAGATTTCTTTCTGTCAGAAAAGGGAATCACAAATATGGAAAGGCAGAAGACTAGAATGACATCTAGCTGTGGAGGTGAACTGAACTGAAACCAAAAAGACAGTGTGAACTCATGGTTTTTGACACATAGACTTGGAAATGATATAAAGATAAATGTATATGTATGTATGTAAATGTGTATACATGTGTGTATGTATGTATCTCTCTCCTAGCTCTGTCTGCTAAAAGGACATAGAAGCAATGCCAACCCAGCACTCAGATCCTGATTTTTAAACACAATTCCTCAACTAAAAGAAACTAGTGGTCCTTGGAAAAATGGCTGATACTGGGGCTGAAGCATGGGAAGCACAAGATGAAGCTGAAACATCTTATGTGTCAGAAAATATATATTCAAAACTGATAAGGTCATGTCAAAAAGGACCCAGAGCCTGCTTGCAGTGGCTCCCATTAGCCAAATATGGGAAAATTTAAGTCTCAAAATAAATAAATAACAGATTAACACCAACACTGATAAAAACAAATCACTTGAACAAGTAAAAGGAGAGAAGAGAAAGCTTACAGTAGAATATCAATCAATAAATGTAGGAAGAATGATTGAGATAGAAAATCATCATCACAGTAACAAATGATCTAAGCAAGAATCAATGGATGCTAAAATAGGTGGGTGAAAGTTAAAAGAGAAAATAGAAATTTTATAGTCTCAAAGTATCTCCCTCTAAAATACTTGTTAACTACAATGTTAAAAACAGTAACTTTATAGGAGAGAAAGCTGGTGAACACCACCTTAACCAAATGATCAAGATGAACATCCCAGTAATGGGATATTGTGCCTCCTGTTGTGATGCACTGAAGATACATCACTCATGTGGTTTCCTGCCCAAAATGCATTAACTGGAATCTAATCATGAGGAAACATCAGACAGGTCCAAACTGAGAGACATCCTACAAAATAACTGGCTTGTATTCTTCAAAAGTGTCAAGGCTCTGCTCCGCACGAGAGGACACAGTGAGAAGACAGCCATCTGCACACCATGAAACAGGCCCTCACTAGACACTGGGTCTGCTGGCACCTCGGTCTTGGACTTCCTAGCCTTCATAACTGTGAGAAGTGAATTTCTGTTGTACAAGTTGAAAGGTCTCAAGACCATGAAGAACAAAAAGGAGCTAAAGATTGCTCCAGGTTAATGCAACGAGCGATCGATTCTATGGATCCTGGACCAAGAAAAAGACTGCCAGAAAGAACAGGACTGAGACAATCAGTGAAACTAAATATGGATTGTGGCTAGCATATTGTGTATTCATGGCAAATTTCCAAGTTTTGTAGCTATATTCTGATTACATATGAGAAGATCTTTGTTCTAAGGAAATAAGGATTCAAGTATTTAGGGTATGACGTACAAAACTTACTCTCAAGTATTTCCAAAACACGTACATATGCATAAAAATGCGTGCATATAAAAACAGGCACAAATGAATGACAAAGCAAACGTAGCATAAGTGTTAACAACTCATAAACTTGGGTGAAGGGAAAAGAGAGTTCTTTGTAACTATACTCCAACTTTTCTGAAAGTTTGAAATTATTTCATAATTAAAAGATACTGAAAAAGAGCAGATAGACTCACCTTTCATCATTATTCAGTATACTTAGCACAGGATCCACAGACAGTATGCCATATAACTCGAGAACATCATTTACTTTAAAACAATCCCAGTCTTCATAGACCTAACAAGAGACCACACAAAATCATATTGTTAGGACTAAGTAACACCAAAAGAGCACATGAAATTCGTCTTAAAGTTAATGCAGTAGTAGTAGCAGTAGTAGTAGTAATAAAAATATTATCATCATCTTCGCATTTAAAATCAGAACATGAACCTTAAAGCAATTCCTTTACTTGATAAATTGGAACCAAGAGAGGCAAAGTACTTGCCTGAAGTCATCCTGCTAGCTAGCAAATAATTAAACAACAAAAACATGGGACTCCTGACTCCTGGCCAATGTCTGTTTTCCCACACTATTCCAGAGAAAAGGCTTTCCCCAAAGGATGATAGTCAACTAAAATTAGAAACATGCATCATCTCAAACCTATTAACTACACCAAAAGAAAGGAAAAACTCAGGATTATTAACTGGACTTATTTACAAGCTACGCAGCATTAGGAGGATTAACACAAACTTCAAATGGCCTTGAGGTTTCTCACAATAAAGAGCTTTCAAAGTTGTCTGTCATGATGGACATTAGAAATTGTCAAAGCCTCCTACTGGTGAAACCTAAGAGAGGCATGGAAGGAAAAACATGCTAATTCTGGCTCCTGTGCTACATGAGTGAAATGCCATTTAAGTTAAAACCACAACATATAAGAACAGAAATTCTCAATGATCATTTCGGAAACTTGTATCACTTGTTCACCTCTAATGAACAAAAAACAGAATAAGCAAGATAGAAGAATAAAGTATTAACAGATTTTTTTTCCTCCTACTTTATTTTAAATCTAAGTGAGAAATGGCTTTTGGTAAGAAAAGGAAGAATGGTGAAAATGAAGTAAATATTAGTAAGTCAGAAATGACATAAAGAGGAAATACATGTTAACTTAAAAGTTGCTCCATATCTGTTTGAAATATTCATTTTTTTTAAACAACATGTGGTAGGCAGAAGATGCTACCCGCATCCCCACTAATGTCTATGTCTTAATCACTGGAATCTTTGAGTATGTTACCTTAATGGGCTGCGCAAGTGGGCTCTATCTAATCATACACGTCCTTTAAATTGGAGAATCTTTCCTACCTATGGTCAAAGGGATATGTGACCATGAAAAAATGGTCAGAGGGCTGCATTACTGCTGGGTTTGAAGATGGAGGAAGAGGCCCCAAGCCAAGGGATGCTGATGGTCTCTAGAAGATGGAAAAGGCAAGAAAAGATTCTCCTCTAGAGCCTCGAGAAAGGAACCAATCCTGCTGTCATCTTAATTTTATCTGCAGTGAGATCCATGATTTCTGGCCTAAAGCCTGCAAGATGTTAATTTTTGTTGTTTTAAGCCACTAAGTTTGTGGTGATTTGTTACAGCAGCAAGAGAAAACTAATACAAATACAAATGGTAAAAGTTTGTTTAATTTCTGAGACACTTCACACATTTTTGTCAGTGCCAGGTCTGTAAAGATTTTACTACCTTCACGAGGCAGGCAGGACCCTTCTCTCCTGGCAGTGGAAAATTCAGATCAAAGGGAGAAGAGAGGTTCAGGGAGTTCAGCTGCTGCCCAGTAGAAGCTTCAGTTTCTAAACGCTTTGGCTCTCCACACCACTGAAGACCACCAACACCCCCTAAATTCAAAGGGACAGCATTGCACATCGTCATTTCTAAGGCTTCCTGGAGATAAAGAACATTCCTAAAGAGTCTTTTGAGTTTGACAGAAATGATGCTTCTGGGCTTGCAGACTTCAAGTTGTTACAGTTTTTTAAGGAAGTAATATATAAAAGCCCTTTGACCTACAAAGAGAACAAAGGTTATTATGAAGATCCGAAAGTGTAATAAATTTCCTCCTGAAATAAAATGGCAACAAATTCCCTGCACCAAATTTCACGTAAATAATTTTAAGTTAATATTTAATATGGTTATCTGACATATTTGACCCAAGAAATACATGGTCTACATACAGCAAAACCACCTTGGTAGAATATATTTCTTTCTATTTATTAAGCAGAATAAAACCATACGCAATTAATTCATTTACCAAACATCTATTAACACCCACTAGGTACCAGGAATCAGACTAGTCGTTTGGGATACAAAGATCATTTAAAAATGGCCTCTATCCCCGAAGTAGTTACAGTTTAGGGCTGAAACTAGTTGGAATCAAAATAGAGCCTGCCGTCCACATGGTATCGCTCAGCAATAAAAAGGAATAACCTACTGATAGAAGCAACTTGGATGGATCTCAAGGCAATTCTGCTGAGTGAAAAAAGCCAATCCACAAACTTTACAATGATATGACTCCATTTTACAACATTCTTAAAATGACAAAATCATAGGGATGGAGAACAAATTAGTGGTTGCCAGGGATCAGGAACTTGGGGTTAGGAGAGTCAGGAGAGGTGAGTGTGATTATAAAAGGGTAACATGAGAGATCTGGGTGATAAACTGTTCTCTATCTTGACTATGGTAGTGGTCACATGAATCCAAAGATGTGACGAACTTTTATAAAATAAACACACACAAATAAGTGCATGTAAAAATGTGAATTCTGAAAAAGGTTTGTGGATTATATCAATATCCATTTCCTAGTTATGATATTCTACTATAATTATGCAAGATGCTACCACTGGGGGAAACTGGGTCGTGGGTATACAGGCTTTCTCTGTATTATTTTTTAGAATTGCATGTGAATCTACACTTATCTCCAAAACAGCTCATATACATATGTATATGTA